CATCTACCTCGAGGTGTTGTTGACAATTACACCAACTAATGTAAGTCCTGCAGGAGGTCTTCAATGCCTGAAGGCTGTTAGTATTAACACCAGAGGGCAAAGGAGGACCGGAGCGGGGGTGACTGGCTGGGCTGGCGGGAAGGGGGCCTGTGCCGGCTGCTGTCAAGCCCTGGGGCCTGATTGACAGGCTGTCGTGTGTTATTGCAAGAGAAAATGAAAGCAAACACACACAGGAATGGTTCCCAGCCCAGTGTCTGGCCTGGGGCAGGTGGAGAAAGGATGTCATCTGGATCTAAACCTCTCTGAATGGTGTGATGTGGGGAGCATGGCTTAAGGCAGAGCTTCCCAGCTGACCTGCTGTGAGAGGCTTCCCGGTGCTGGGGCAGTGAGCCCTCCTCCACCTCCGAGCACCTGGAAGGACTGGGAAGAGGGGCTGGAGCCCTGGGTAGTCATGGATGTCTGCCCTCTCCCTCCCCGGCCCCAGGGAACAGGATTAATCTTCTCTTTTTCTCTGTGTGCCACGGTGTGAATAAAGTGTGGGGACGCTGGTGTGTGAGATGCTGCCCAGGTAGGAAGGTGAGCGTGATTGGGGCAAAGGACCCTGTCACTCTCAGGGTCCAGAATCTTTCCACACCTTCCCAGGCTAGTGCCCAGACTGGAGCTGGCACAGCAGGCACAGGGCTCACCCCTGGCACCAAGGCTGCCATTTTAAGGCTCAGACAGAGCGAGAGGCAGGGCGCTGCCGAGGCTGTACTTTGCCAGGACTGTTTATCCAGGGGCCAGAACTCTCCTGATGGCCGCACAGGGACTGGGTCCCTCGTGGCCGCTCCGGAGCTAACAGTGGGCATGTGGGCTTTGACACGCGGACATGAGCTGCTGTCGTCTGGGCCCCGAGTCTCCTGGTCCTCTCCTTGTTTTCACAAGTCTCCTGTCCCCACACACAGCAATGGCTCCGAAATGCTAGTTGACATTCTATCTACAGCTCGCCTAATTCCAAATGCAGGAGAGATTGGACAAATGTTGGCTGGCGATTCCTGTGATTGAAAAGTCTGCAAAGATTTATTACTCTTTTCCAATGTCCCCAGACTTGGGCTGAGTGTCACCAAAGATACAAAGAAAGAATAAATAGGGGTCGTGGGGAGGGAAGGCGCAGGTGGCTGATTATGGTTGGGACAAGCTAGTCCAGAACATGGTGGAAGGAGGGAGGGAGGGAGGAAGGGGGGGGAGGGAGAGAGAGTGAGAGAGAAAGAGAGAGCGAGAGAGCGCAAGCATTATGCAATATCTGTATATCACTTGTACCTTCTCTCTTCTAAATGCCTTCCTTCCTGGATAGTCAGGTACTTGGTTCCATGTGCTGCATTTTAACCGCATCCCAGAAGTTGTCGGGAAGGGGCAGGATGACATGGTGGGAAGAGCCCTACAGGGAGTCAAACCTGGCCCTGCAGCCTCCTTCCTGGGGGCCTCTGGGCAAGTGCCTTGCCCTCTCTGAGCCTGCTTCCTGCCTGCAGACGGGGTGAAGACAGCGCCCTCTCAGGGCCTCTGTGATCATGCCATGCGGGAACCTGCACAAGGCTCTGGGCACTGGAGTATTCTGACACTTGTCCAATAGAAGGGCAGAAGGGAAGACCGGGTTTTGTGGGGGGCGGGGGAGGTGTCAGAAAGAGGCTGTGGGATGCGAGCCCTGGGGGAGGGGGCCTCAGGGCGGCACCCAGGGGCCCTTCTGCAGGCAGCCCTGCCAAACTGCATGGCTGCTTCACATACACTGAGAGCTGGGCTCTCCTGGGCTGGCAACATCATTGATGGGGAACCACCAGGAAACTGACTCCGCTGTTTGTGAGTTGCCAGCGAACCCTTCAGAGTTCCGCCATCACAACCGGCGCTTTGTTAGCTGCCTGCTGCAGTATTTCTCCAGTTTCCGCTCAGAGGTTGGATCTCTCTCTCTTTTTCCCCACGTAATGCTTTGGGGCACTCTGTTAGAGAACAGGTGGAGATAATGCAGTTGACACACAAAAACCAATATTGAGGTGCCTGAGCCTGCCCCCCCCCCCTGCCCCCAGGGAGTGGCCTGGGGTTAATGTGCTGTCTGCAGCTCAGCCCAGACACTCGCTGGCAGGTGGTGGCATCGTAGATGTCAGATTCACCCCTGTTGGGCTCTGTGATGTGCTGTGATGAGATAAGCTGGCGGTTTCCACACAGGTTGGGGGGCTGTCATGAGGATTCTAGTCAAGACAAGAAATTCTGAACCAGCTTTCCCAGACCTGGGTTGGTCCAAGGAAGCTCTGGCCCTGGGAGGTGGCCTGGCTTGGCCTTGGAACCCCAGGCCTCATGGGGATGGCTGGGGCACTGGTGAAGGCCCCCGACGGCAGTCCCCCACCCTCCCTCTGCCAGCTGCCCGGAGCTCCGGGCTTTCTTGATGAACACATCCATCCTAATTAGGATGAGGAATTAATAAAGGAGGCATTGGAGCCGCTGTGCAGAGGCCCGGCTTGCTGGCGTGGAGCAGCTCCAATTTCCACAGGGAACCTGGAAGCTCTGTCTGGGTGGTGACAGTAGCATGACTTACGGTGCCACGTGGACAGCGCCCCGTGCAGCCTGTGAGGCGGGCTCCGCAGCCCCTGCTCTGTGTCTAACTCAGGTGCCATGGCAGGGAGTGACGTGGGTACGTCCTCCAAATGAGAGGAGTAGGTGTTCGTGATCTGAGCAACTGCACACCCAAAATGACGTTTTTCAAAAGGCAAGAGGAGGGTGTGATCATGCCACCCCCCCTCGCCCCCCGCTCCTTTGTGCAGCTGTGTTTCCCAAACTATTGATTGCACAGTCACCCCTGGCATTAAGCTCCAAACTGCAAAGGGCAAAGCAGCCCAGTTTGGGAGTGGAGGTGGGGGGCGGAGGTGGGCAGGATTCCAGGTAAGAACAGGCTTGGTCTAGGTCCTAGAGATTCTAGGAGGAGAGAAAGGGCACAAGTTGGGCCTCACTGAGCTACCCAGCTCCACAGAGCCTCTTTATAGATGCCTCCAAACGCGGCCAGAAAAGGGCCATCTTTTTAAGAGCTCCTCCCCAACTTCCACCGAGATCCAACCACGCCGCACTGTTTGCAGGGGAGGCTAGGTGTGGGGGAGAATTTCCCCGAAAAACAAAGGGGCGGAGTTCACACGCAGGAAAGGTGACAGAAAAACAACGACGAAACTCTATCGAAAGATGGTTGGAAGGAACGCTCTGCCACTTCCCCAATCTCGTCTCCAGTGGGAAGCCAAGCCCCAGAGGCAGACCCGTCCACCTGCCTGGGGCCGAGGGCCCCTCCACAACCACCTGTGGCACGAGCTCCGCAGCTGGGCGGGCGGCACCGAGGCTCTGAGGCCCG